GGATCATACGACACTGGCTGCCCTTCAAAAAAAAAAAAAAAAAGAAAAAAAAAAGAAGAAGAAGAAGAAGACCGGCATTACAACTCCACTGCGTTACAGTTGCTAGCCTGTCCCGGACTTTCCCAAGAGCTCAACCCAAATCGCAGAGAGCCTAGCTGGACAGGACTGCCTTACATTAAAAAGGCCTTTTTATGTTGTCATCATGATTAGGTGCCTACCTGTAGTGGGAGAGTATGCGCTTAGGCCCTCGCCACACCACTGTCGAATCTCTAGAAGTACTAGTGCACTTTCCCGTGGGGTGTGACCAGATGCATCCGTTACTATGAATAGCAACCGAATCATCTTGCGACTTTCTGAGCAAGGTGCACTCTTTCTTTTTCCATTCGAACAGTGGTGTGGTGAAGCCCTTAACAAAAAAAAGAAGACGGCGGCAGTGTCACGCCTGCCTTCTTCTTTGGGCCTCGCCACACCAATGTCCAAACACATCACGACATTCTACATATGTCAGGAAATTCTCTACATTGCCTCTTTCTACAGAAAAACCCTCTTCGCCACACAGCATGTCGAAGTGAAGAACTTACATTGTCAAGTCCTATGCACAAAAGAGACAAACTGGGGTGAAGTCAGGACAAGCATTGGTCCGTTCTCCTTTTTGACATTCGGGCAAGAACTCTACATCCCATCGGAGGACTGTTGAAAATGTCCAAGTTGCAGGCCTGAAGTGGAAACGAGCCCTGCTCGAGAGGTGTGGAAACCCTTTTTTTCCCTGACAGCTCCTGAATTTTTTTGGGGGTTTCGGATTTCGACATGCTGTGTGGCGAAGAGAAAATGTCGAAAATGCCGTTTCGGACAGTGTGTGGCGAAGAGAAAATGTCGAAAATGCCGTTTTGGACAGTGGTGTGGCGAGGCCCTTTGCCTGGCTCATTTTTCAGCCAGACAACACCACTGTAGAAACGAAAAATGAACGAATGCATCTACCTCAGAAAGTGGTAAGATGCATCCATCGCTATTCATAGTAAACTGATGCATCTTGCCATTCTCTGCGGGAAATAGTAACTGATGCATCTTGCGGGAAGATGCACTCGTACATTTTCGTTTCCACAATAATTATGGTGTGGCAAGACCCGTACTCCGTTTCCTACCACTCTTGAAATGTGAAAAAAAGACAAATGTGGTGGGTGCATCTGGTCATGCTTTAGCAGGAAGTTCATTCTCATTTTCCACATTTCCGCAAGGGCTGTGGCTTAGCCCTAAATGAGCAGTGAGGCATTTTTCAAACACAATTTCATTTCCAATCAACATTTGAAACGAGGCGGCCGGGGACCTCACAATTCGACCCGGGCCCAAGTCCCACTAGCAGCATCATCCCGTTTAGCTCATCGAAAAAAGAAAAAAAAACAAATTCTCAATATTCAACTGTCTACTGGAAGCTCCCTACTTCCTGAGTTAACTCCTATATTTATTAAAATTTTTATTACTATTTTTAAATAAAAAAGGCTAATTCTTTAAGCCCAACCAATTCAATTACCTGTCGAATCTGGACAGGACGGCCTTTCAGGCCTTTTTTATTGTCATTATAGTATTACAGGGAACCCGGTAGCAGCCACATCCGTGCTCAAGCCTCCAAAGAGGGAACATGCGGGAGCTGCACCCACCAGCAGGTGTGCGATACCTGCTAGGCTGCTACAGCAGGTGGGCGATACCGGCGAGGGGTCAGCCTGATGGTAGCATCAGGACCGAGCCTCTTCGATGGGTCAGTCACTGTGCCTCCCCTCCGGTCCCCTCCCCCTGTGAGCATCAGCAGTCTCTGCCGAATGCCACTGGGGAGGACCAACGGGCTATCTCTAGGTGGCGGGCGCCAACCATGCCCAGGAAGGTACATGAGGCCAATGGGGATTGAACCCAAGACCTCCTGAATGCCACTTGCGTGCCCTTACCAACTGAGTTAGGCCATTGGATAACTCCTAGATTTAACTAAATACAGCTACTGGCCAAAAAAAAAAAAAAAACAGTCACCTCGGTCCTTACCCTTCTCTTCTTTCCCCGAATACAACGTACGGTCATTATAGCTGTATCTAGACTGAAAGATGCCTCAACTACAGCTATAATGACCGTGCGTTGTATTCGGGGGAAGAAGGTAGTACCTGTTCCTCCACTAAGTTAACTTCAGTAGTAGTGCACAGACTTCCGGTCTGAAGCTGGGCCCAAAAAGCTGGGCCCAAAACGCTGGGCCCAAAACGCTGGGCCCAAAAGGCTGGGCCCAAAGCGGACGAGAGGAACACTGGTCCTGTTCCTTTTGTAGTAACCTGACACTCTCCTCCCTTACTACCGTCGCTAGTACCCTTCCTCTTGCGCTCTACTGTGACCGCCCACTGGAACCGAGTGCGCCTGGTGCTTCCTGCAGTGTAAGCTAAGCCTAGAACTAGACCTGTTCCTCCACTATTCCTATTCGAGCCAAGACTATTATATCTTTAGCTTCCTATAAGTTAAGCCTAGAACTGGACCCTCTACTTCCTACTCTATTCCTATTCTATCCAAGACGATGTCTTTAGCTTCCTATCGGTTATCTGAGCTAATCGCTAACAGCCAAAATTTAATGTTGAACATTTCAAAAGTTTAACTTGCAACATTCTTCTTCTTCTTCTTCTTCTTCTTCTTCTTCTTCTTCTTCTT